TCAGTTTTATCTGTCCCTCTGACCTGCTCTTTTGTAATCGTTCATTAGTATGTGTGTAAACTTAAAAATTTGTTTGCTCAACAGGGAATTGTTAACAGTGTTTTGGTTTGGTTTTAGTTATAAAAAGCATTTTTTTCAAATTCTATTTTAAACCAACAGACCTTATTATTAAACGCATTCTGTGGCTTGTTTTGGTTTTGCTTTTACAGGTATGAAGTCATTAGCAGTAATTGTTGTTCACTTGTTCTGGTCTCACCGCTTTGTCCGACACATTATCAATCCTCCATTTCCTCTTGTATATACCCATGTGAAAACTTTCCCTTAACATCAAACCAATGAGCCAATAATAAGGATGATACTGGGAGCCATGTATTGCTGGATTTGGTACACAGTGAAGAAAACAGCCAAAGGTTTTCCCATGGGAGCTTGTTTTCTGCAAAACTGTTAGACCATCCTCGTCCTCTGGGGACTTTTTTTTTTATTTTCTGATGGCGTTTTTATGACCATTTTGAAAATAAAACAATAAAAAAAACGTATATATTCTGGTAACAGCAGAAGGGTGAGAATAAAAGGTTCCCTCATGACTCACTGCTGAAGACTTCAGAAGCAGGGAGGAGCAATGGAGTGTGAAGCTTAAACAACGTTCAGACTGTGACAAATTATAGCCCTGAAACAAAAACATATGTTTAAATTAACCTCCCCTCACATGAAAACATAATATTAAACATTCAAGTAATATTAACAGAAAGCAGGTAATTTTTGGTGTTTTTTGACAAAAATGTGTCATGTTTGTGTTCGAGCCACAGAGACAGGCGTTAATAAGATGGAACTGGAACATGTATAGTTATATAATTTAGTACTAATGTGTATTTCAATAAATATTTTAGTTGATCTTAGTTGTCAACTGTGTTTGTGCCAGGATTAGATGGATATAAATGTTGTAGGACAGAGTTGGCTCAAGATTTCACTGTCAGGATGGTGTTAGTGTGTGTATGAATGTGTAAGATGATACTGATGAAATCAATAGTAATGTATATGTATGTCTGCCTCACGTACACACACACGTGCCTCTGGTGGTTTTTTTTTTTTTTTTTTTTTTTAACATGATTTGGAGTGATGCTTGTTGCCTCAAGCCATATTTTAAAAAGGTTGGTTAATAGTTAATTGTTTATCATAGTAGTTTATTTATGCAATCATCGTCAATGGCATAATCCTACCCAAGGTTGAGGGGAGAACTGGAGAACTCACCAGTCCATCTCTTACACAGATAAACAGCCAATCACTCTTATACTCATGTCTGCCATCAGTTTAGAGTAAACATGCTGAATTTCTCAAACATTGATATAAAATGTATTAAAATTCTCTATCATGGTCTATAATAGACCTGATAACCTGGAAAATAGCATAAAACAAAATTTACTAAAAAAAATTGGACTAAGAAATGTAGTAAACACCCCTCCAAGTGCTGCAATTGGTTTTGATCAATCTATCCGTCCTAGACATTATGACAGAAATAAAAATCTGTTTTATGTTGTTAGACAAAATGTAGTTTTTTTTATTTGAGGTTTATGCTCGATGTATATAGTGACAAGCCCAACCCCCTTCTCCTAAAACATCTGTATTTTAATCACTTGCAAATTAAAAACACGACAATCTATTAGCCATTCTGCCTGCTGTATCTTTAGGAGGATATTGATGAATGACGCCCTGCTCGAGCAAACCTCTGATCTGGCAAAACATAAATTTGTATAGTTGCTGAACACATGAAATAAGGAAAACAATTTACTGCAGAAATGTTTAATATTGAGAGTTAAGGGTCGCTGCAGCATCCTTGTTAATTGATGGGGGGTTTAAGGGTCGCTGCAGCATTATTGTTAATACTTAATTGATGGGGGGTGTCAGGACAATAATATTTTTAAAAAGAAATATAAGTTCATTTTCCATTCATGTGTTAATTAAGCACGTTTAGACAATTTAGTGAAAAAATGAAAAGAGCCTAAAAACAAATTAATTCAGCTTTGAATTTGTGTTCTCTTTATTATTACAAAGAGAAGAAGAGTTTCTGAGAGGTTTGGGAAACTTTATATAGATTTAGTGTAATTTTACTAGAAGTATTCTTTTCTGTCTGTCTTTTGCATTTAGTATGTGCAATGTCAAATAATTATCCATTGTACTCTATTACTTGGCTTCTACTGCTACACTAATCACCAGCGGGGCCATCATACCTGAAGTAACCCCATCCCTATTCCCTTTGTGTCAGAGCTGTTGTGTGTAATTGCGAGTATATCAATGTGACATTCTGTGACTTTCTGTGACATTTTTGTTTTGTGGTGCTCTGTTGGCTTTTTCTAATATAGAAACACTGACAGACAAAGCAATAGTTTTCAGAACAATGAAAAAAAATTGGAACATTTCTCTAGACCTGATGTTTTCTCTTGTCATGCTAAAGTGCTGTTACAGTGTTTGAGAATCACTGCCTTATTGATATGAATAAGACAGCTTCAAGACCTGAGTACATCACAAAAATGTTACAATTCATCATACTGGAGCATACAGAGATAGCTTTTTGCGGGTTTAAACTGCATCATCTTTTCCTGTAATACATCTGTGATCTGTGGTCACAGCTTGTCATTACTGGCAGATGGTGGGTTTTGAAGCTGGACATGTAAAGAAACACAGACCGAAACTGTTCATTTACTGTAATGTCAAGAGGTTTTTTACATTTGTTGTATGCTGTTGTTGTAGTAGTCTTAATGTAATTGTAATTTATAGTCAAGCTGGTCAAATGAATGTCTCTGTGTTTCCAACAGGTCAGCAAATGTTCTTGTACAATGTACGTCGAAAAATAGCGAAGGTCCTAAAATTACAGATACGAGAGCAGGGATTTTTACAAATCCTAAATTCAGTCAAGAAACTTTTAGAGAACATTCAGAGCATTATCGGCATAAAACAGGTCATTTGTAATAAATACGATGAAGAAACTTTTCAGTCTCTGACTTGAGACTTGCCTAAAAAACAATCTGGTTTCTTTTAAAATAATAATCTGTTATGGATTTAGGCTTTTAAAGTCTTTAATATTATCCTTTTGTACTAATTTCAGGTTTATCAAAGCATCTTTCTCTACCTGTGTTTTTTCCTTCTATTGAAATATATTGTGCAGTACATGGTAAAAACTAAAAGTTCTTTTCCACGAAACACAGATTTACCGTATAATAGTTTACTGATTGGAATCTAAGTGCTTTCATTTTCTTCATTGTGATTTAAAGGCTTCAAGGTGAATCTGCTTTGCTTATAAAGCGTGCTTTATTACATGTATGTCACTAAGGCAAACTGTATATGAGCAACTGTATATGAGCAACTTAATGAAAGACATTTACAACATTTAAACAAAAGGCAGAAACAACCAGACAAAGACTTTAGCCTTGAAAGTAGTAACTATTGCAATTACAGGTTGTCCTTGAATTGTCTCTGCCTTAGGATATAAGAAAAAAAGATTTTTCATCAGATAACAGATGTGTTTTGACACACCATGACACGTTTTAAGAGAAAATAAAAAAGAATATTTCCAGTTGTTAGACGCAGACTAGCTCTTATTCCATTGTTTTCCAAATGCAATACATCTTTTTATAATATTTAAAATTTAAGCTATTTTCTGTTTTTTTTAACTTGTACTATTTTTGTTTATTGGCTTTTTTTTATTTATTCCCAGGCTTTGCTGATTTTTAACTGTGTGTTTAATATCATCCACTCAATAAGTTATATTATCTTAGCTGTGATAGTGCAACATATTGTAAGTGTTTTAATTACCCCACGAGCCTTAGGCAAAGGTTTACTATCAGCTAATTTTTATCTCCAGCATGGGTACGTTTTATAATCCTTAGATTATCTGAATTTTTTTATTTTGTTTTATTTTATCACTTGACTATCATTTAGTCATCTTTTACCTAAAATTTATCAAAAGTTTTGGCCTACTGACTTGGGTATGATAAACAGTGATTGTGTACTTTTTACATGCCCTTCATGTAAAAAAATAAATAAATAGAAGCTGTGTTTTGTAAGTAACCCTACACAATTATATTCCATCTGGGAAAGAACTCCAACAATTACATAATATGAAATTTTTTTTAAATAAAATTATATATTTTAATGACATTTCCACATTTTTCTCCTGAAATTCCTAATCCTTTACCTCATTCTGATGCTGGTTGTAAACTAGAACCTTTCATGCAGATCACGAGTGTAATGCTAAGGAGGAATGTGTGACTACACATTAACTGCAATTATTCATGTATGATTTTATTGCCGGAACAGCTTCAAAGCAACAATATTACAGGGATTAATGCACAGCAACTATTTAATATGTGCTTTGAATTTAAATATTTCAAATGCGTGTGTCGTTATTTTAAATAGATGCTGAGTCATTGTTCTTCAACTGTTCAACTCATTCAGAGAGAGGGAGTCTGGCTGCCTTTGATTACATGTAATGAAGGGATATAATGCAGGGACTCCTGGTGAGAAGGACCTTGGGAAAAATGTTTATTTCAGATTAGCAGAATCTATGCCTCATTTTCTTTTGGCAACGTAGCATCTTTTTTTATCATTGTTTCTTTCTGGTTGGTATTTACACTTGTAATAACATTCAATCTGGAATTAAGTTGCATATCAAGAGCAACCTTAATTTAACTTCATTAAACCTAGAGATTTGCAAGAAAACAAACGAGGTGTAAATGTAACATAGGCGACATTAAACCTTAAATCTTTCTTAGCTCAGGTTGTATCTTAGGCTGTGATGAGGTTAAAACTTTGTGAAAACCATATTTTTGTTTCTTGATGTTATCTTTAAACTTTTTGCAAAGAGGTCTCACAGACATTCCAAAGCAGCATTTGTTGTTAAAACCATTTAACAGTGTAGTTTTAGTTAGAAATTCAAAACTTGCTGTGGTTGTTCATTGCCATCCACTGAATGACACACTGACATTATTTTTCTTTTCTCTATGCAGGGTCCTCACTCAACCACTCAGCGGACTTGTTCCCTAATGCCACATGCAATGTGTCCACTAACGATTCCACATCCTGTTCCACTCTGGACGATGGAACCAAACCAGGAAGTCCATATAAAGCTCTGGAAATGTTCTTTATCGCATTGGTGACTGGATCTTTGAGCTTTGTGACTGTGACAGGAAATATTCTGGTCATGCTCTCCATCAAAGTAAACCGACACCTGCAGACTGTCAACAACTACTTCTTGTTTTCTTTAGCATGTGCTGATCTGATCATTGGTGTTTTCAGTATGAATCTGTACACTGTCTACATCATCGTTGGCTACTGGCCCCTGGGGCCAGTGATTTGCGACCTGTGGCTAGCTTTAGATTATGTTGTGTCAAATGCTTCGGTGATGAATCTGCTGATCATTAGCTTTGATCGATACTTCTGTGTCACCAAACCCCTGACGTATCCAACAAGACGGACCACCAAGATGGCAGGGTTGATGATTGCAGCGGCGTGGATCCTGTCCTTTATCCTGTGGGCTCCTGCCATCCTCTTTTGGCAGTTCATTGTTGGAGAACGAACAGTGCCCCCTGGAGAGTGTTATATACAGGTATGTCATACTTACATGATTGTTTGGCATAATGTGAAGGCTATATATACACTATAAATTCATGTTATGTTAAGATTTCAATCCACGTAAATGTAAATGTATGGCTTATTCAGCAGATTCAACCTGTTTGTGCTGGTTGAACCAGTGGTTCATAAACTTTAGTGCTTTTGGGAAGCACAGTCTGAACCTAAGCTCCACTGGGAAAGGTCTTTCTTCAGTGGTTGATAGAACAGCAATCATATACCATCATACCAATTAATTTAAAGATAAATTGGTTATAAACACTTGTTGTTAACTACTCACTGTTTAAAACCTACGTTTGAAGTTTTGTCATCCTGAATCTCAGCAAATCTAGTCCAGACATGAGCAATGCCGCATGCAACTCTTTGCCCGGTTTCATGTGGCTCATGTCAAATTTTGTTTGTGTTTTTTTATGGTACGCGAATGGCCGACCAAACTTGCTCTCAAAATGGCAGGGAAAAAATGCACAGTAAAAGGATAATATGAAGATGAAGACAGGATGTCTACAATAGAGTGAGAGAGTTAGTTTTTAAGGGATGGGGCAGTTCATGTGTGCCCATGTACTGTATATCATGTGGCTCTTTGCAGTAACACAGTAAAAGTTTTGGCTCTTAAAAGCTTTATGAAATTTACTTTAATGCAGTAGATCAGAATGAAGGAACAAGACTTTCTTAATATATTTATGGAAGATGGAGACTTGACCACACCGTAGGCTGAGGACGTCATAAACCAAGGACCTCCTGTAATTGTATCGGAATAAAACATTGTCAGCATTCTATATCGATGTGCAGTCTATAAATATTTGTTACACACTCATAATTGCCACATGGTACAACACACTTGATCATATACACGGATTAAATCCGTGTATTTTATCACAGTGTCACAGTCACACTGACTCCGTGGGCAGTGAAGCTGGATAACTGCTCTGAATGTGTCACATTTGTTTTCTGTTGGATCAGCTGCCTGTTGTGTGGCCAGTGTGAATGTATATGCCGCTGTCAAAACCAAACAGTGATGACCACTGCACAATAACACCTCTTACATAAGCCATTGTAGGTTAGGATAGAGAAAATCTATCACACCCGATGCGATCACACTCTTATGCTCATTTATTGGCATATACAAACATGGAAGCACATTTTTTAAGGAAAACAAATGGCAAAGCAACCATGAGAGAAAGAGCATTCTCACCATACCATATAAGCATGTGCAAAGTTGATATTACAGCTATCATTTGATTTCTAAGAAGCCCAACCATTATTATGTTTTACTGTCAAGATGATCAAGTCACTTGGTCTTCTTTACATTTTGGATCTGTAACAATGTTAGTCAGTGTTCTCTGGACAGTAGATGGTTATACCTGGATCTCCCTGGTTCATGTCATTTTGTGGATTTGGCTGGAAATTCTATGATTATAAAGAAAAGTTCACAGTTCTATCTTTCACTGGCTATAGTATTGTTCCTTGGCCAGCCAATATGACTGGGATTGTCAGTGTCAGTGCCTGTTTCTCAACTTTAAAAGTTGAGCTGCACGTCTTTATGAACCAAACTGTTGTGAAAGAAGTCTGTGAGAGACATTGCTGACTCAGTACGACTTTCTTATCACCTATTTCTGTGCTCAACCGTACAGCTTAAGTAACCTGTAATAGCCTGACAACTGTTTCAGGAAATGTGTTTATCCAACCTACATATAAAAAGCTATTAGCCCATGTTTATTATCATTAGTCAAGTTAGTGTTAATGCAAAGTATAATCACAATTTTACAGTTTGTCTACTTTGTATTTCTTATATGGACAGTGATAGACAAATATAAGTGGAAAGTGAACTCCTTGTCATTGTGACACAGCTCACCACTGCACACCACCAAATGTGACCTCTGCTTTTAACCCATCACCAAAGTGAACAGTGGGGAGCTTTAAGGACCAGGGAGCAGTGTGTGGGGATGGTGCCATGATCAGAGCACCTCAGTGGTAACTTGGCAGATGGTGGACTCAAACCTGAAACCTTCTGGACCCACGTCCGCTTCCTTAACCACTAAGCCACCACTATAATTGTGTTAATGTATTTTCTCAGTTTTGTACTTTACTCATTATTATGTTTTACAAACAGCTTTACGTAATTGAAATTATTTCATTCTGTGTGGCTAATGTAACATTTCATTTTATTTCTGCAGTTCCTCTCCAACCCTGCAGTGACATTTGGGACAGCCATAGCGGCATTCTACCTTCCTGTCATTATTATGACTGTCCTGTACATCCACATCTCCCTGGCCTCAAGGAGCAGGGTCTCCAAACACAAGCCTGAGAAGAAAGAAAATAAAGGACTAAAGTAAGTCCAACCAGGAAAAATAAAATATACCCTATGTTTAACCGTCAGGAGAATAAATACCTTGCGTTTTTTTGCTAGAACCAGCAGAAAAAATACACAAATGCACATGCAACATTTATCAATGACAAAAAACATAATACTTCTTACAGGTTAAAAAACAATGCAGAATCTTACTTTCATTAAGCTTTTTGGCATTCTGGTTTGAATAACTATAATTCGACAAAATGTGTATTTTATTTGAATTGATTTATAGAAAGTAGGTTACATTTCATTCTGTATGAAACAATATAAGAGACAACACTGGGGTGTGCAGCTCAAGTCTTTATTGCTGCAAGAAAAGATTAACAAAGTCTACATGCAAAACTGCAATCATCCTTAGCTCTAAGATGGACACTATTATCACATAACAAGTGTCTCTTTTTATTTGAGTGTAAGACAGCCACTCTACAGAACGTGTATGAATGACTATTTTGTACAATGCACTATGCAAATGTTTTTAATAATCATAAAACAATAATAATGATTATATGTTCTTCCTGCCATTATTATTAGTATTATCAGTGAGCAATATATTTTTACTAAATAAAAGCCAGTGAGCAAGGGATGTTAACAATAATAGAAAAATGATGTATACATTTATATTTACTACAAATCAAGTAATTATTGGTGATGTGCTTTAAAATACTAAGTCATAGCAGTTTTCAAAAAGTATTCAAACACTAAATGTTATATAAAAAATGAATTTCTTATACAAATTTGCAATATGTTGAATAAACACTAAGTAAAGTCTCAAAGTGACACTAAGTCCATGTTACACAGACATCATCATAAATGAAACATATAGAGAGTGTCCTGTGCATTGAGTTAACATGTTTCCTACAACATTATTCATATCAGTTCTACAGCATGTAAATTAATGAAGGTACAAGTGCATCGTCACTACATGCATAATGAAAGTCATTGTTAGTATGTTCAATTTAGACCTTCCAAAGTCATTGTTAGTATGTTCAATTTAGACTTTTACCATCCAAAATAATTGCACATTAATTAAACATTTTAGTTAGTGCAGTTTGCTAGTAAAGGTATAAGGAAAGGTAAACCCATTAGCAACTCCAAAATATAGACAGAGAGGAGCAACAGGAGACGAACCTGAAACTATTAAATGGAACCATGTTTTATAGTGTATAATTCCATATAAACTTGTTTAGTTTCCCCATGATGGCCATTGAAGAGAATGCATGTGTTAGACGTTGCCACATTGGCTTTACTCTTCTACCAACTGAGTTTTGCTTATATTTATTTATGCGGTCTTTCACGATATTTGCTGCTAAACAAAAAATAGTCTAACAAAATGTTTGATTGCATTCATTTAGAGCTCCTAACATGATGAAGAGCCACTTGTTAAAACAAAACAACAACAATGAAAGCAGCCCTCAGGCCAGTCCACGCTGTACACCCAACCCCAGTCTGGACTCCACAGCCACGGTGGTGGAGGCTGTAAAGAATGGTCAAGTGGAAGAAACCAAACCTCCTGAAACCCAGCCCCCAGCTCAGCATCAGCCCAGTCCAGGACTGGCACAGGTATCAAGCATGACCCAAACACTTAGAAAACGTTAGCTTAATATTGGTGATTCACAATTCCTTTCCTATGTACAGGAGGAGAAGGAGAGCTCCAATGACTCGTCGACAGCTTTTATTCCTCCCACAGAACCAAAGGACAACAATAATCAAGTCGTGTCAGAGGTTAGCCCACTTTTTCACCTTTGTTTCTGTAACTTAAAAAAAAAAACATTGACTGAAGGGCAGAAGCTTAAAATATTGAACTTAACAGTAGTTAAAATCGACCCAAATGATCTAAAAGATAGCCAGTAAAATGTTTCAAATGCTATTCCAAATCACAAAAGCATGTAGTCAAATCAGTCAAATTTAGCTTCAAAGAAACCAAATGAAATCACCAGTAGTAGTTTGGTCTGAAGTTTATGGAAAATACACAATGGCAAGCCAGTATGAAGACCAGTAATTAGAGAGCTAAGAAATAGCTTATGTTAGCAAATGACCAGATAAATCCCAATAAAGAGAAATAACTGGCCAAGATGTAGCTGAAGTCTTAATAAAGCTCGGGATATTTTAAATGACCCTAAAGGAACATAAAAAATGTTAGCATGAAAAATAACCTAGAAACTATTCTGCAAATGTGGCTAAAAGAGTTTAATGTCATTTGTTCTGATTAACCAACAGACTGACAAAATAACTAAAAGCTGTTAAACTATGGAACTTTTTTGCTTTTATTTCTAGAAAACCACTGCAGTGTTTCACACCAGGATGGTTTTTAATTTGCGTCCCAAAATTCAGCTCCACAGACACGACTACAATTTTTTCCCTTTTTCACAGGCTGCCACAAATCACAGCCCAGTTGCCACGACGACCAGCAGTCTAAATGTGCCCAAAATCAACCCTAACTCTCGGTGGTCCAAGATTAAGATAGTGACCAAGCAGAGTGGGGACGAATGCATCACAGCCATAGAGATAGTACCGCCTGTTGAGGGCGCCGAAAGGCACTCTATCCCCATCTGCCGCCCTCGCACCGTGGCAAGGAAGTTCGCCAGCATTGCCAGGAGTCAGATGAAGAGGAAGAGACAGATGGCTGCCAGAGAGAAAAAGGTATGATAGAGATCTTTAGACCACTCTTAGCTTCTTTTATGTCTAACTTTAAGCTACTTCTAGACAAAGACATTTTAAATTTTTACCAAATTCTTTATATTTGGATTGCGAGCTTAGATATTATTTCCTTCAAACCTCTTACCTAGTTCTGATCTGGACTTTTTAAATTTACTTAGTTCTCACATTATTGTTTGAAATGCAGGTATTAGCAGCATTTGTAAAACCAAAAGCTATCTCACCAAACTTGGTTTTCTGGTATCTGAACTAGTTTAACGTTTTCTTCTTCCTTTTTTGTGTTCTACATGTATTATAAAGTTTTCTCAACTTTTTCAAAAATTAAAAAAACTTAATATATAAAACATTATATAGTAATAATATAATTTTGGAGTTGATTTGCTGCACTATTGGCCAACTTGTTCTTAGCTATTTGTTGCTTTATTTTGACAAATCTTCAAATCAGTATTACTTAATGTGTTTGCTCTCTCCTTTACAACTTTGTATACTGCTTTGTTTATTTTATTCTCAACTACCATTTTACTATTATATTACCTATTTTGCTATATTTTAGCTTTTAAATAGTCCTGAGCCAATGGTTATAACACTGAGAATAATCTGAACTATTTTCTGGTTAGCCATGAGCTCTTTTGTTTTATGTCCAGCTCCATTTGGATAATTCTGTGATAATTTGAGATTATCACCATTAGGTATTTTCTTCAAACTTTACTCAAATCTGGCATATTTGTGGTTGGCGACAGCAGTTCCTCTGACCCTTCTGTGTCCATTTGAAATAAAACCCCAGCTTTTTAATACATTTTTGTAACAATTGTGGAGTTGTTAATGTCAACAAAAGACATGTTTTACATGATGTGGCTGTATGTACAGGTGGGACTCCATTTTTGCCCCTCACTAACTGAATGATGTGCAGCTGCAGCTGTTTTCTAGGCCGACTCACTGTTTTACAGCCTTTCCCCTTAATTATTGTTCTTGCTGATAAATGGCATTTGGACGGTTTGTTCCTCTGAGCATCTGAAATAACAGAGCATGTTAGCATCTTCCACCAATTTATTTTCTAATTTTAGACTCACAAAATCTCCTCCTGGATCACTCACAATGTTTTCAAACACCTTCTTGGGCCACTCACCAAACAGCAGCAGCAGAGGCGGGAGAAATTCAGGATGTGGATTGAAAAGACACATCATTAATAAGCCACACTGGCCTTTAGTTTGGCAGCGATAGCTACTAAGGCTGAATTAACTTGTCAGACCTAAGTTGGACATGAT